TCTCTCTCTCTCTCTCTCTCTCTCTCTCTCTCTCACGCACACACACACACACACACACACACACACACAAAGGCAAAATCCTCACCCCGCCACCGCAGCGTATCAACCGGCATCCGCAGAACGACCTCATATACAAGCAATGACAGAAAACCGACGTGAAGGCCTAGAAATGTAGCTACCATTGCCCTGACGAGCTGCCAAGTGGCAATGCAGGATGCCACGTGGTCGTGGAGATCATCCGTCCATTGCGGAGGGTCGGATGTCAATCCCTTTGCTGGAGATATTGCTCGTTTTCTTCTCGTTTCTACAGTCCCGGGATGATGGGATTCTTTCAGATCTCCTTCTTTGCCTAATGTGCTCTTTCACTCCCTCGGAGCATTTGGCTATGAAGATGCCCTCATCTTTCGGGTGATTGAAATGTGGGAGTAAGATGAGGGGTGGGGATAGGTAACTCTTTTTTCTTTTTTCATATCTCTGGGATTTGCGTATCGGCGATTTTTTATTATTATTATTTTTTTTAAACTACGCTATATTCTTCTCACAATTTCACCTTTCACTATGTACCTACCACTACTCTCAAAGAAACCCAACCTATGATATTCACCCCAGTTCAGTATCTTCTTGCTCACCACCAGCATATCACTTCATCATTGGCTTCTCTCGTTCCCTTTTCCACCATCAGTTGCCTTCGTGACCCTCCGTTCCTTCGTTCTCGTCTTCATTATGTTGGCAATGACGGAGGTGTTTTTCCACGGTGATCTCATCGGCAGCTTCCCTCTCTTGGATCCAGAATGCGGTTTGTTGAAAACATTCCTTTTTTGTTACTTGGTGTGGGTACGTTAGGTGTCCACACTATGGATTGTTGGCATGTCTGTTTCATAAGATTTTGGGATCCCCTTCATGTCTGAACTGGTTGGCGCTCCACGGTATTAGAGAACAACCTGCTGCACTCCTCCCCCACCCCCCTGCTCCCGGACTGGTTTGTCCTGTGTTTCCATCTTTTTTCGTACTGGTTGATCATACTATCGCCGAGCACAACGTTCCAGTCTTGGGTTCTTCATGTGTCCAATCTGGGTGGTGCTCGAAGTCGTTAGAGAGTAGTCTGCTGCGGCCCCCCCCCCAACGTCCTGCTCCCGACAGTTCTGTCCCTCATTTGTCCAATCTGGGCCACGTTGATTGTTGTTGAGTGCCAGCTGCCCTTATCCCCCCGTTCCTTAACGACACATTTGCGCGTTACCAAAGCAGTCAGCCGTATTCCTGTTTATTATA